AATTGTCATTTAGTCAACTTTCCTCTTTGACCAACCCCTGGAGGTCAGGATCTTACATTCTGATACAATTTGATTTCAATTTCATCATAAAACTACTCCAACCAGTTGTGAAAAAATGTCTCTCTGAGAATAGACAAGATATACTCAAAAGTGTTATTTACCTATATAAACTATAGTAAACTTGACCCTCTTCCCAAGGGAGAGCAGATGACCTAGGGTTAATGGAATTTACAACTTCGTTAATACACCTAAGGACCTTTCCATCCATAAAGAGTATTTTATTCTGGTACATCCGAGTACCAGATGAAGAAGATATTTGAAACTTGAGCAGTTTCACCCGTTTGAGCACCACACCTCTGGCCCCTGGGCTGAGACAGGATATGTTTTTCTCTAATTGCCAAATAAGTTTGAAACCAATCTGATTAAAACCAGATCTTTGATTCCACTCCCGATACTCTATGTTCCAGTCAAAGAACGTAGAGTATCGGAGTGGAATCGAATACATGTAGCTGGTCTTAATCAGATTTGGGACAACCAAAAGTGTTATTTCCCAATAAAAAAAACCCACTATAATACGATACATGCAGTGGGTAACAGGAGGTATATTCTTGTCTCGAACTCAGACCTACCTGCAGAGGTGATAAAGCATGGTAAATGCCGTTGGGAATCGTCATTACGTCACTTTTTTTTTTTTTTCTTTTTCTTACATGCTTGGCAAAGGAAACAGATGTTTTCGAAAGCTCGCAAAATAAGTTTTCAATTGCTGTTTGTGTTCAATTTTTTTTAGCATATTGTATATATATGTATGCAATGAAGTTGGTTAAAGACAAATACTTCACAAATTATTTCATTTGCATTTAATGATACAGTAATAAAGCGTTACAAACAGTAAAAGTGTTAACGTTATATACTTATTTTGAAGTTACTATGTAGGGATTTTACCATTTAACAATTACACAACCCAAAAGAGGTTCGTCATTGGATCATTCCATGCAATAGACATATTTCATATAAGAAATGAAAAAAAGAATATAAGATTTAATATGGAAAAGATTATAAAAAGATTTAAAAAGTTGTAAGTTGTATCATTTGTTAGATGTTTTATGTCTTTTAGATATGTCATAAAATGTTGTAAGATGTTATAAAATGTTTAATATAATAAGCTTTACATAAGATATCCCATAAAAAAATATGATATCTCTATTATTGGCATTAGCCGAGCAACAGCTTTTTTTTCTGTGTCCAAAATTAATCTGAGCCATGATTTTTGAAGATTTTCCTCCATTTCATATGTGTATTTCTCATAAGTCTGCTACCTATATTTTCACGGTCGGTCGGACGTGAAAAGGCCCCTAGCATGCTAATATCCGGCCAACAAAGTTGTAAAAACTTGTTTCCTAATTGTTATAAAATAAATGAAATCTTTATTTTTATTGTTGTTTCGATAGAAGAGAGTTAGCTTGGAAGTTGGATTAAATTACTGCACGTGCCACATGACTTACATGTACATTCATGAATAGTTAATGTTGTATAGATTGTTAAAAGTGCTTGGGGAAGAATTTTACAAGAAGACGGGTGTCGGGAGTCTGGAGTGGGAGTCTGGAGTCGGAGTCCAGGACGTAATCAGATCGAGTCTAGAGTGGAGTGAGTTTCATAACTATGTAGAGAATGACGTCTATTAAAATGTTGGGAGATATTTTAGAGAGGGAGAAGGGAGCCTACTTCAGGACAGGGGTTCGGTCTCTGACTGTCGCGGCCACAATGTGTAGTTACATACATGTACATATTCACAGATGATGGATGTGAACGAAATAGTACTCCCCCAACTCTTTTTAAACATCACCCGGCCCACTCTTTAATCCAGAGCACATCGTTTATTTGTAATCCTGAATGGATGCAACAGTCTATATTTACAATGGCTCTGCACCCTTCTATTGCAATGCATTGAGAAGGCAATGTTGTTGTGTGATCAATTTCATTGTTGTCAACACTTGATTTGCTGTTCAAAAAACTGTCCGAAATAACTAAATAAAACATAACTACTCTATCAAAATGTAAATATAAATAATCAATATTTTAGCAAGTGTTGTTATGGTCCTATAACACACATTTCTATTGCTGACAAACTTAATAAAGCCGGTATGAAATTTGTCATCGATAGCATTGCGTGTTATAGGACCATTACAGCATTCATAAATAAAACACGTGTGTCGCCTTTATGTGTCTGTCCTGGTACATGTCCCGAATTCGTTTTCAATAGATGAGAGTTAAAAATAATCAAACGTTCTTGTTATAATCAGCGACTTTATTGTATACATAAAGCCCTATAATATGTAGTCAGTCAAACAACTATTTCCGTTCAAACACTTTTGATGGAGCAGAGAGTTTTTAAACGGAGATATCGTGCAATACGAGTTTTAACAGGAATTCTTGTGAAATGGACTGTATCTGTGCATGTATACTATCTACTTTTAAGTCTCGCTTAAAGGCTGTATGTTCTAAATTATTTCCATCAATATGCATTGTATACTACATTGTTATCTATATTGTATAGTATATGTATGTCTTTATCTGCGATATGTTACTGTATTATTGTTATCATTGTTGTTAATTTTGTAATTTGACCTCGGGTCTGTTGAATTGAAATAACAAATAAATAAGCCAGTTATTTCGGACTATATAACATAAAAAAAGATATTCCTGTATGCCTCCTGCAATAGTCAACACCTTTTTGAAGGTCCAGTGTTGATGAGCGACATTCAAGACTTGCAGAGGCTATTGAATTGGTTTCGAGAAAGGGACATCTTGAAACGTAATTTGTACAATGCCCGTCTAGCAAATGGATAGTACATAAATGTATTTATTATAGTCACGGTATACCGTAATGTATGTAGTGCAGGTATGAGGCCAAGGTAACACAGGTAGCCGCGTGAGGCGGGACGGGTAACGCGTAACTGCACGTGTTACAGGTGCTACACGGGTGTCTGTAGAGTAATACAAATATTTTGAGGGTAACATAGTCAATCTCGAATGAAACCACATTTAGGATTTAAATAACTCTAATAAGGGTCGCAATAACCGGGTAAGGTAAAATGTTTCATTGAATGTTAGCACACAAACATTACGTAGTTCCGTAAATGATATGTCCATCTTATTCCGGAAAATTTTGAAAATTCAAATGTACAAACGAATATATATATATATACTTGGTATTGTCATAGTAGTCGCTTGCAGTTATTCAAAGGACCTGGATTTACCTCAGTACAATTACACACAGCATAAAAATTGCTACTATCACAAAACCCCAGACAGCCACGAGATCTGGCGTTAACTTAAAAGATGTTGCAAAACGAGGACGGTAAAACGGTAATGAGATTGGCATTATGTCAGAAACAGTAGTGTGGTCGGACCGAATACCGTGTTTCACATGTTATTTAGATAAGAGAGTAAAACTGTATTAATACATAAAAAGTATGCACACTGATAAACATGTTATAATCACTTATAACTGTATAAAACACATAACAATCTGATACAAATGAATATGACTAAATTCAACATTGTTATACAAAAAAATAAAATATATAAATAAAAGAAAACGTACTCACCGTAACGATCATAATGGAGATGGCCGGTTACGTTTACGTCATTGCTTACTGGGGTCGCAGCTTCAAGTGACTAGCTCAACGCATTACGTATTGGTTATATCATATAGGAACCGAGCAATATGTTAGTTATTGTACGAGAGGGGCGGAGCTACTTCTCGAGCGCGCAGCGCGAGAGATGAAAGCTCCGCCCCTCGAGTACGATAACTGACATATTGCGAGGCCTATGATGTAATGTAACCGACTTGTCGCATAAAGTGTCACATAACAATTTTAAGAGAACATTTGAACAGTTGATAATGTCCCGAACTGGTCACAGGAGCACAGCAGTTCAAGCTTTAAGAGACTATGTGTGCTGCACCGCTGTTAGAAGTGAGCAAATTATTGGACCCTCCGAAGGAGAAAATGGTAAAAATTGAGGGCGCTACATGTAAAAATGGAAACTCAGATACATATTAAGCCTACTAATGTGAATATTACATGCCTACAGAAAAGGACCATGTTCCATTTGCTGTATTTCTAATATGTCCAGAAATGTGTTTCACAATTGCCACTCGTCTTTATAAGACCGACTGGTACCAGTTTATCATATGGTATCACTAATACCATATGGTATTAGTAAAACTGTGTAAAATAAGTTGGTTATACCATAGCTAGATCAAAGGGAAAGTGACACGTCTATGCGACAAAGGTAACTTATAATCAGGTGTCCGAAGTAGGTGAGGTTCTAGAAGGATTGCTACAACAAAGTATCATTGGTTTTCCTTTGAGGGGCCTCTTCAACGACCTATACCCGGCCATACCTTAGTTAAACAGTATTCATTTAACATTCAAACATGCATGAATGATCGATCATAGCTCATGCTGCATATACACCAATGCCTGGTCATTGTTGACTTCATTACCGGTTCAGAAGCTGTCAAGTTGGACTCAATGCAACTAACAAATGCAGAGACATATAAAGCCAGTCTCTGCCAAATGTAACCTGTTTCTTTTGCCGATGAATTTGTCCAGATTAACATTGGCTGTGCGCATGTTTTTGCGAAGGGAGATAACTATTGACATATTTAAACAAAGATACCACTTGATGAGCTTGTATATTTTTTATTCAAACAACCAAAAGCGATCACCCACGCCACCCCCCCCCCCCCCCTCCTGTACAAATCGAAAACAAACGTAGATCAACAGAAGTTCGTCACAAATGTCTGAAATACAAATATCATGATATAACTGATATGGGTCACAGCACACATAAACACATATCAGTATAGCATATGAGTATAAATGTATGTTTAAGCCAACGAACCCCTGTGGTAGATCCATGTGGTCCCGTCTTATATGAAATACAGTCGAACAGCCAAATGTCATATCAAGTGTTTCGTGTTTGGTTTCCTGTCTTATTCGACATTCAATTACTGGAGCTTCAAATTCCAGAAGAGGAAGAACCTCGAAATTTAACAGCTCTCCACTTCGAGGTAGTAAAAAGATGACTGCCGTAAACTCGCAGCTGAGTCTGTGCACCGCGTCTAGACATTATTCTTCTGCGATGACGCATCAGAAAATTTGATATCTTTTGAATTCATCGACAAAAAATTAATATGACATTTAAAATTTGGTTTTGTGTTTTGTTTCTACATAGCTGTATTGAACTTTCAACGTATACCATCATGTTGTGTGATGGTCCTTCAATGACAGACTATATTTTTGACATCACGTCAAAACGTAGAGTTGCACTAGCTCAAGAACCTGGGACAAACGATCAGAATGGACTTCACAAGTTCCAATTATTGAAAAAAACACGTGTTTCAAGTTGGAGAAAAGTCTCAAACTGTCCATTCTATGAGAGTACACAGTTTTCAGCCTTTCTCCTTTACAGATATATAAGTCCCGTAATATTAACATTAAGACCCGATTATGTGTCAGTATCGCAGTATGGTGCCAGCTACATATCATTTTATAAACGACGCCTCAACACCCATTAAGGAAAGCATAGGCTACATCATTCCCTTGCATTTCGTTCCATTCAGAGAGCGTAGCCCAAAGAACTTTTGTGTGTGATATCTAAAACAAGTATTATTCATTGATTGCTATCCAAAACAAGTATTATTCATTGTTTGCTATCCAAAACAAGTATTATTTATTATCTGATATCCAAAACAAGTATCATCTATTGTTTGATATCTAAAGCAAGTATTATTTAATGTTTGATATCCAAAAGAAGTAATATGTGTTGTTTGGTATCTTCACATAATTATCCTGTGTTGATTGACAATTTAAGAACCACAACTAGAATTGAAATTGCGAGCAATAGCGGAAGTCACCCTCCCCTGCTAAGTACGCAGCCGTTTTGATTTTTTTTTTCACAAAACGAACACTGCAGTTGTGTTCGTAGTGCCTTACTTCACCTACATACCAATTTTCATTAAAATTAGACGAAAGTTTAATTTCGACCAATCAGAGGCCAGGAAATGGCAGCCATTTTGTCGAAATGTGAAAGTGAGGTTACGAAAGTGACCGGTGTTCAATGATTTTGCAACATACATTTTGGTGTTTACATATATACACATTTTGTGTGGAAATCTTACCATTTAACAGCAGCAGCCAACGGGCTGAATTACAGTGAGAAAATCATTCAAAATGGCGCTCTATATAGTTGTCAAGCATGACGTCGTCATTAATACCTTGCGTCAAAAAATACACTACAAATTCCTGCGTTTTTCTAATGTAGAAATATTTGTGTCGCGCGACGTGAAAAAAAATATGAATTAAAAAATTAATGGTTTTACCGTTCCATACAATATATAAATATATGTGATCACAACAACAAAAAATCAGCGTTGTGGCAAAATGTGTCTACGAAGCAGAATGAGAGGTACATATGAAGTAACTTCTTTGACAAGTATCCTCAACCAGATACTAATATTTGATATATTATTCAAAGATGGGCTACGATTAACGCTTTAACCAAGAAGACGGTTAATATTTTATCCAGAGGTACATTGCCAAAAGAAATATTTGTGAAAATCGCGGTAGGGTATAAATGAGATTTGATGTAAATCACGCACTGTCTCTTCTCCCTGTCTTAGAAGATGACGTTATTACCAAATCGTTGATATTTTAACGTGCAGTTAAAAAGTACATTTGCGTGCTTTGGGACATATACTGATCATGAGTGATAATAGTTCAACGTGCAAGGATATTGAGCATGAACGGAATATTCTGAGCGACAAATTAATGCCATTGACAAACATATTCAATAGCGTAGTTGCCATAGACTCGAGTAGGCACGTGCCTACACATACGTTTGTAGAGGTTTTGGGTTTTAGTAATGTATAAATTCCCAAAAATCAGTATGTGTTTTCACTTTGCTTAAAGATTGTACTTTATCCTTGATGGTTTGTATTGGTCTAGCACAAAATAAGGAAAATATTGTTATTATTTCTAAGTTAAAAAAAAGATCTTGTATTACACGCGCAGATAAAATACAAATACAACTTCCGAGCTTACATTTAACAATGTGCCTTAATACGTATACATCAACGGTGAACAAGTTTGTGGTCTGGCAAATTCGAAAAAGTTCAGAAACCCAAATCGGATCTTGCAGTGAAACTCTTTTGTCCTCCGAGGCTACTCTAAGTAAGGCGTAACTCTCAGGATTTCAGTCGGAGGTAGGCTAGCAGGTTATGACAAGCTGACCATTCAGAACTAAGCATGCTTGATAACCAAGGTAACCGTACCGATATAATGTAAAAGCATACTATTTCTTTGGGGATTTAATTTCGTGGTTTTTCACTTATCGTTACAGGCACATAGGTAAAAACTTGTAACTTTTTAACACAGTTATAACTAGAAACTGTTGGCTAACAATTTGACGGGCTTTTCACTGTAAGGACTGATTTGGCCTTCTAATAATAACTCGTGCAAGTCTACAGTGGGGGGTTCCCGGAGTACGAAATGACGTCAGAGAAAGAATGGATAAATATAGACAGCCAATGTGCTTAGTTGTAGACGAAGGTAGTCCGTAAAAGTCATATAGTCCCTCAACTATATGTACATCAGGATGGTGAATTGAAACTAGCATTTTGTCTATATCAGTTCGGTTTGCCATGCAAAAGAAAGGCTGATGATACCCACTGCAGTAGAGATGTAAACTATCCATACTTTTTAGATTGAGCGTGCGTAGTAATTGATGTAGTATTACCAGCGTGTATTAGACGTCTGAATATAAATCAAAGTACTGAGAGTACTGAGAACACTTCAAAATCGCACAAAAATGAAAATGGTTTTTGACTTTCACTTTTTAAAATTATATTTAGAGTAGGTCAAGGTCATTCATTTGCACACACTTTGAAACCCTTTATTCAATCATGCTTCTTGCTAAAATATTGATTATTTATATTTACATTTTGATAGAGTAGTTATGTTTTATTTAGTTATTTCGGACAGTTTTTTGAACAGCAAATCAAGTGTTGACAACAATGAAATTGATCACACAACAACATTGCCTTCTCAATGCATTGCAATAGAAGGGTGCAGAGCCATTGTAAATATAGACTGTTGCATCCATTCAGGATTACAAATAAACGATGTGCTCTGGATTAAAGAGTGGGCCGGGTGATGTTTAAAAAGAGTTGGGGGAGTACTATTTCGTTCACATCCATCATCTGTGAATATGTACATGTATGTAACTACACATTGTGGCCGCGACAGTCAGAGACCGAACCCCTGTCCTGAAGTAGGCTCCCTTCTCCCTCTCTAAAATATCTCCCAACATTTTAGTAGACGTCATTCTCTACATAGTTATGAAAATCACTCCACTCTAGACTCGATCTGATTACGTCCTGGACTCCAGACTCCCGACACCAGTCTTCTTGTAAAATTCTTCCCCAAGCACTTTGAACAATCTATACAACATTAACTATTCATGAATGTACATGTAAGTCATGTGGCACGTGCAGTAATTTAATCCAACTTCTAAGCTAACTCTCTTCTATCGAAACAACAATAAAAAATAAAGATTTTATTTATTTTATAACAATTAGGAAACAAGTTTTTACAACTTTGTTGGCCGGATATTAGCATGCTAGGGGCCTTTTCACGTCCGA